TCATTTTCAAAACTGAGCTATCAGCTGTTGAAGTGTGCACACATTTTGGGGGGACACCCTCTATTTAGATCTGGATGCCTTTTCGTGTGAAATTAAACTGATTTTTTAATTGGTTCTACATTGCATATTTTTAGCAATTTGGAATGTACCTGAGCTAAGCAGTACCATCTATTTAAGAAATATTATTGATTATAAAGTACAGGGTACACTTTAAGCACCATAGAAATAATTCTCTAGACTTTAAGCTTTCATCCTAAAATAGCACAAAGTTTCTGTACCTCCCAGTAGAAAAAGATAACCTTCAGAATTTGAACTAATGCATTTCTGTTTTGTTGAGTTGGCAATTATTCTATGTAAGGAAAGCAATGATGACTCCTCAAATATCCAGTTTCTTATAAGTTTAGAACTTCAGCTGTAATGAAATTCAATCGTCTTTCTAGTCCTAGGAGTTCGCTATTTCTCCCCTGAAGTAAAAGAGAAAAAATTAATTGAAGGGATTTCCCATTGTTTTGTTTTATTTTGGGCAGAGTTCTGTCAGTAACTTGTATCAGAAACCTCCACACATCTGGATGGACACATGAGTTATCCCAGTCAGCTGGTTATGCAGCTACTGACCACGAGGGTAACCAGTAAGCAGGAAAACCCAAGAGAGAATCAGGCCTACGTTCTCAGGAAATGTACAGCCCCACTGAGCCAATAAAAATTTACCTATAGGGGAAAAATATCACTGTAAGTGCTTCTTAAACCAACTGAACCAAGGTATTTTGCTGTGGGGAGGGGGGAAAACAGTAATGAATGAATGTTCTCCAATTGAAGTTTACTCTATGAAGTTTTCTTGAAACTTTGACACCGACTACTGTCTTTTTTTCTAGAGAGATCCAGCACATAGCAAAAATGGGTAAGTCCCAGAAACAATTATTAACAGAAAAACCAAAGATCAGCTCATCATACTTAGTTCAACAACTACATTTGGGGAGGCACATGAGCTCCTACTTTTGATTTTACTTTGCGTCTATTTTTGCTGATAAAATTCCCAGGATCAAATAAAGTATATCAAAATTACTGGCACCCTGCAAAATACTGTGTCACCGGAACAAATCTGAAATTACATTCTGTAGTTCTTGTTTTTCATGAGCAAATGGGCTCAGAGGGCGAAGCTAAGGGTATATCCGACTTCTCTTCCCTCTCCTCTCCCTCGGCCACCTTCCCCTTCTCCGCCCTCTGGCGGCAGCTCCTCTGGGCCTGGTCCTACCATCCTCCCTCTGCATTCCACTCACCCACGGCCCGTTCACACCAGAACCACCCTCATAACCTTCAAACTGATTCCCTTCCTATGGTTCCTGCCCACTCAAGCCCCCCAGTCACCCTTCTCACAGACTCACCTTTCTGCAACACAGATCTTTTTCAAGCCCTTTTCCTGTTCAAAATGTTTACCAACTCCTTATTCCCCATTTAATAGTATCCAAAAGTCAGAATCAAATTCTCCAAAATACAACAATTTCTGGTCTTTGGTTAATATTTGAATGCAAAGTTTAGCGTACACATGACTATGTACAGCCAAGCACTCAAAAGAAATTTGGCAAGAGATTTCTCACATCGATAGAATAAGTTTAAAATGAATGTGGGCTTTTAAAATAATAGGTGATCCTTTAGGAAGTGGTGACTAGTGGCTACTTAAACTTGTTTTCGGTTTCCTTAAGGAACAAAGAGGGATTTATCTTGACACCTATGGATTGAATATCAGTATTCCCATCACTCAGAAATGATCAGTTTTTCTTTTTTATGAATTATCCTGTCACTGGAGGTTTACTGGAATCAACATCAAGTGTGTTTATCAGGACTGTTGTAAATCAGCATGGTCAGGATCACATAACTTGATGCTTGTTGTCAAAAGAAAATATGACTGGTAGTGTTATTTCATAGAGCCCTGAAATTGCCTAAGTGTCTGTCATGGTATTTGCTGTTAATTATAGGAGTTAAAATATGTTCTACAAATGTCTATAAAGGTGAACTTTATGCCAAAAGGTTATTACCCTGCCAGGGTAACACAATAGAGTACCACTCTGTCCTTTAGATGTTGTTTTACTCTTTATTTTTAAATAAGCATATGATACTTTTAGAATCTGGAAAAATGTCTATTTTAAACAATAAACTTTGAAGTTTTCTTCAAAAAGTCATACGAACAGTTAACTTTGCAATTTGGTGTTTGTTAAATATTTTGGAAAAGGCTATAGTGGCTTATCCCCTCTAAAAAGTTTGCTTCTAAAAGACATCTTTCTACCTGTTGGAAATAGCCACCAGACTCGGAGCTCAACAATGGGGGCTCGTTTACTCTATCTAATCACCGTTGGCTAATTTGAATTTAGAATATTATCTCAACCATTAGTTAGTCATTCCTCAAAACAGCCTGATGGGAGAGATGAACGCAATCACCCGTTTCAAAGTGAAACCAGCCACAGTGCCCCGCAGAAGAGTCAGGTCTCCAGTTACACAGTCAGGCCCGCTAGGAATCAGGCCACGTCTCAGGGCTACCGCACATCCAATAAAGACGCAAGAGTGAAAATTTTAAAAAATTTAAAAACCTCCACTGTTTCCATTTCATAAGCACTTGAGTTTCAATTTACTAAAATTTCATAGCAATGAACAATCTTGAAAACCTTTATAAATGCAACATCAGGTCTATCCTACCACTTTTTATGGCAACCCAGATATAAAATGTGCAGCACTGTATATATTTGCTTATAAAATATTCACAAATTCCCCCAAATCTACTCTCAGAAGCAGCATAGTGAAGATAAGGTGGTGATCAAACAACAAATGCATGTTGAATATCCATTACGCCCAGGGCTGCGTGCTGGAGCTATGCACAGAGATGCGGCAAGAAGTCAGACACCCCAACTGTCTGCTCGAAGGTGCTTACGGTTGGTTTGATAAAGAAACCACTCTAATACATCTGAAACTTAAGAATACTGTAGAAACACTTTTAAAGGTGTATATTCCCAGTTTTAAAATAAGCATTTTTTCCTACATTTTTCTTCACCAAAAACACATGTTTTTGTAGTCATTTTATTTAAGCTTAAGGTGCTTGGTGCACAGGTTACTTTAGAAGGTTGGAAAAATCATAGGAATTGGTCTTGAAATTATTTATTTCATTATTTAAACAATGCTGTCTTTAACTCTGTCTTTCAAGAAGGAAAACATGGAGGCATAATCTCAGAGGAAACATTTCGAATAATTAAAAAATCTTCCTAGCCTACCATGGGAAGATAACAAAGGTAATGAATCAGCGTGCAGTCTTTTTCCACTACACTGAGCCACCACACGTCATAATTCTCTATGCTCTTCTAAAAAACGTTCTCTCTCAAACATGCATGCTTGTTGCTTTTAATGGAAGAACATTCCCAATACCTCTCCAATGAGTGTAAATCCTGTTTATATTCTCGCCTGCCCCCGTTTATGGCTGCACGAGAATTTACTCTGTGTTTTGAGCACACACAGGCTGTCCTAATTCCCTTTTTTGGCTGGTGGAGCCTCTTCAGAACTCTTTAGGGGGAAAATGGTTCTTTTTTCCTTGATCCCAGGGCAAAGTCAAAATGAAAATAACAGACTTAAATGGCCCATCCTCCTTCACGTCACCTCCGACTTCTCATTCAAAGGGGTACTTGGGGCGGCAGGTGGAGTTATAATTATAGATTAGAAAAAAGCTACATCAGCAGCTGCTGCTTCTGTTTGTTCCCGGCTATAACTGTCATCATTGGGCAAATTGGCATAAACAGGCCTCCACAAGTGGAAAATCATTTAACCCCTGTGCTTGTCTGGGTGCTCTCAGTGGCCGGAGAACAGAAAGGAAACCTCGCTGTGCACGAGCAAAGGGTGAAACGGAGAGAGCCCCACCGACCTGGAGGCCCCTGTCCAAGGGGAGCCTGAAGATTTTCTTTCCTGTCGGAGACTCCAAATCAAATAAATAGGTTAGTGCACAGAGTTTACCTCTGCATTTTAATTCTGACCTCTGCTCTATCTGGTCTTTGTTTTTCTGACAGAGCTTAACGACAAGGCTGAACTGTTCCATGAAAGAGAGTTATTTGAGGACTGTTATTTAAAACTACTATGAGAACAAATTATGAAATGGGCTGAATTTATTATGGTCCTCTCCCAATTTTGGCTGTATTCACATTAGACAAATAGTCAAGGTAAAGACGGAAATATGAAACCAGTTTTGTGGCATGAGCCCCATCCTTTCCTAATACTACTTACTCATGCCAAAAGGCCCTGAGTTGTTTTTCTAATCGAAATCAGTAATACCGAAGGCTTAATTTTGCTATTTAAAAAAAAAAAATACTGTGAATATAGTTCCAGAGTTTTATTTCCTTAGGGAAATAGGCAAATTAGAATTGGATTGTTTTTCCAACTCTGAATAAAAGCAGAATATTTTCTTGTTTATAGTAAAATGTGTGCTGTGGGCTACTTTATACAAAAAACTGACTGTAGGATTTATTTCTTGTGTCTCGTACAATTCTGACTAAAAGCTCTATAATTTCAGTCTAAGTAGCTCCATAAGACTCTCCTCTTAGGTCCCTTTGAGGAAACCAACAGGTTTCAATGAAATCTCATTTTATCTGGTGTGCTCTATGTTAGAGAGTAGTTGAGCAAGATTTTCAAACAGATTAGCTTTGGGCCATCTTCTCAAAACCTGGATATTTAATCTCTTGGTGAGAAGCAATGGAATTTCAGGGAACTCACTGAAAACTGAGCTTTGGGGCCCAGTTCTCATCCTACCCACATCCCTGAAACAGATCCAAGTGGAAAGAGTCCTAAATAACGGCGTCGTTTTATTCAGCTCCAAACAGAAAGTGAACCGTCCCTAAGCATTTTGTGCTACACTTTTCAATGGGAAAGTGCACCTGTCTTAGGATCGCTGCGGCCCAACAGTTTGCCCACCTTTTGAAGTATACCTAGAGTGCCAGCTGTGCACTCGGAGCTCCACTAGAGAGACACCCACATCCAACTAAAATCAGCACAAATGACCCATCAATTAAATTCCCACAAGGAGCTTGTTTCTTTCTAACAATGTCTCCTGGTTTCTAAGAAGAAAGCCACAACTCCCCCTAAGGAAGTTTAAGGGTGAAATAAATACCTCTTTCCACACTTTAGCAAATAAAGACCCAAAGAATAAGTTTGGTCACTGCTTTTGAAAATGTCAATCAATACAGCATATCAATACCCTAAATCTTCCTGTGGGTTAAGAAAGTATATGATAGGTAACATTACAGCAACGTATCTCATTTATTCATTCAACTATCTATGGAGGAATGGCTATGTAATCTAAAATAATACTTAGAAATTAAGGCAAGCTTATAACTGCTGATATTACTCTTTCCAGAGATGCTTTTCCTCCCTTTTTTCTACTAAGCGATGTAGCACCAAGAGAGTGGTTATCTCCAAATTCCAAATTGCACGAACTGAGCGAGAAACGCAAAGGGGGAGACGGACGACTGGTTGTTGGTGTGGGTTTCCGTTGAGATGCAGACTTATGCTTTGTCTTAAACGTGGCTTCTTACCTGTATTTTGTCTTCTTGCTCTTCTAGAAAAAAAACTATCCAAGATGACTGTCACTTACTCCAGTAAAGTAGCCAATGCGACTTTTTTTGGATTTCATAGGTTACTCCTCAAGTGGAGAGGGAGCATCTACAAACTACTGTACAGGGAATTTATTGTTTTTGCTGTTTTTTACACAGCCATAAGTTTGGTGTACAGGTACTTTCCTTTGCATGAACCCCTCGGTGGCCATCAAGTATCACGGTAGAATACAGTCTCAAAAAGCTGAGCCCCTGGTGGCCGCGGGCTTGCCTGCGTCACCTCCTGTGCAGATCCTCTGTTGCCTTCTCCCGGGACAGGGTGTTTTAATCCGCACCGACCCCTTCGGGTTGGCAAATAGACGCACACTGCCACGTGCGGGTGGTTCTCATTCCAGCCCCACATGAAGTGGTCATGATGAGGTATCAATTGTGTGTCAAGAATGTTGCTAGAGGCACAAAATGGAAGATTTATACGTAGGTCTTCAGTGCATAATGATTTGGAATGGCAAAGTCCACAAATGAATAATTCTTGGTGCCTCTCTCCGCCATGTCGCTCCCAGTTTGAATTTGTGCTTCGAGAGCTTGTAGCACCTACCCACGTAATGAACGTGCTTGTGAACGGTGCCTAGCAGGCAGATACACCTGATATAGAAACTCTCCTTCCTTTTGCCTGGAATGTACCTCAGCTAAAGAAAAGGCCCCAAAAACTCACTTATTCTCTTTAAATCTTCCGAGTTCGGGGCATGTTATATTTACAAAAGATGTTTATTCCTTATAACTTCACAACCTATGCCTGTCAGACTGGCATAAAATTTGAGCAATATTATATCCAAGAACTACTTTTCTGATTAAAAATTATAGTCTTAATAAAATTGTATCAGTACTACAAAAGAGAAGCTTTATGAGTTTTTTAAATTAAAATTTTAAATTATTTAAATTGGGGGGAATTAAAACTTAAAATAGAAAAGTTAAAGGTTTTTGAGGCTGTATTTCCACCTTTTCTATGTACATCAGTTTGTTATTTTTCGTCTGCATACAAATGAACAAATTTGTATAACATTGCTCTCACGTACAGTCTTCCTTGCAGCAATAGGACCCCACTTGAAGAAGAGGGGTATTAATTTGGTTGGCTGATAATTATTAGAGTAAAATAGAAAGATATATTTAGCTAATATCAAAACTACCATTTCAAATAAACATATATATTGGTATACATTTTGGCGAAATGTCTTTAAAGGGAATGTTTCATTAAAAGCCTCTAATAATTTTTCTGATATGTCTTATAATATTTTTTGGCAACTTATTTATGTGTTACCTAATCCTTCAGAATATGAGATGGTGGAAGACACATGACATTAATTGTCTCAGTTTATTTTTACTAATGTGAATTTATTGCTGCTACTGCTGCTTAGAATAGAATAGTCCTTAGAAAAGTTGCACTGTAGCTAGAAATGCTCCATGGAGCTTTAATTTTTGCTCCAATATCTTATTTATACCCTACAAAATTATATGCATATATTTTTTCTAAAAACCAAAGAGTGCTTACACTTATAACAATACCCATTAGTTCAAGTTATTCTTCATTTTTTGAGGTCCAAGTGTAAAAGCTTGTTAAAATAGGTCCTTAAATCTTGATCAAAGATACACCAAGAACTATAGGCTGAATTTGTCAAGAAAGTCAAATACACATGTAGAATAATATAGACATAGTTTCCTTCTCATGTCCACTAATGACCTTAAGTATTTTTTTTTTAAATATATCTTTATTGATTTCAGAGAGGAAGGGAGAGGGAGAGAGAGAGAGAGAAACATCAATGATGAGAGTCTTCATTGATCAGCTACCTCCTGCACACCCCTAACTGGGGATCGAGCCCACAACCCGGGCATGTGCCCTGACGGGGAATCGAACTCCGATCGCCTGGATCCTAGGTCGACGCTCAACTGCTGAGCCACTCCGGGCCAGGCGACCCTAAGTATTTTTTATCCTATTAAAAGCAAATAAATATACTTAGCAAAAATAATAAGATAGCATCAGAATTCACTAATTTGTTTATATCTCTTCCTATTTTTGTACGGATTTGACAAAGTAATTGTTGTAGTACTTTCTAACTAGTAAAATTTCTGTCTATTAGCTAAATATATTTTCCTTTGGCTAATTATTAATAATAACAATCACTTTGTGATTGAGTACAATACCACATGTTATGTTGTTTTATATAATATATATTTTTTAATCCTCATAGTATCTCTGATGCGTAGATATTTATCCCCATTTACAAATGAGAAAACAAAGGCTCAGAGAGATTTAAAAATATGCTCAAAGTCCAAATCTATAAGTGGCAGATCCGGAATTCAAACCCGGCTTCCCCTGACCCTATGGTCTGTGCTTTCCACAGTTAAATCCCCTTCAACCATTTCTATTTGAGTATCAGAAACCATTCTGGCTGTAACTTTTCATCAGCATGACCTTGATGGCTATGCAAACAGGTGATGCCTCTCTTGTCAGCTTTTCCTGACTTCAGAATTTCTGACACCTCCTCCAAAGCTGAGGCAAGAACTCCAAGCCCACCCCACACCC